TATCGTTTGTGGGATTTCTATCCCCGCATCCTTGGCTGGAGAGGTTGAGCGAAGGCAAAAGGCACAGGCTGCCTCCACCTCCTCTGGGTGAAATGCAGCGGGCGAGAACCTCTGGCAGTCCTGTGCAAAGCAGGGAGCAGAGGGGAGGTGTTTGGGTGTGACTGCCTCACTTCTCTCCCCGGTTATCACCTGAAGCTGCAACACCTCTGCCCCTTCTTCAGGAGGGCTGATGTTGGGTTTTGCACCTGTACCACTTGGTAAGAAAATAAAGCCTGACTGCCAAATAACCAGGGCGTTTTCCTGCGGGAGCTATCGTGTCAGCCCCATGTCTTGGCCTCGTTCCATCACAGGCGATTAATGTACTGGCTACATTTCACTGATGGAGGACCGCAGCCCTCTGGCCAGCGCTCCTCTTCGCTATGGGATTATTTGTGATGCCTAATTAACCAGTACCCAACAACTGGTCCTCGGTGGGAAGCCGCTGTGGTGAGGAGGGGGCTGTTTACTTCCAAGGGATGGGTGACACACTGCAAGCTTTCCTGGGACCTTTCCTAACTTGCAGCGGTGCACAGGGGAGGGTAATTCCTCCTTTTAGCTGCATCTCACCTTGGTGCCCACAGCTGAGTCTGTGGAGCTTGGACAGGTGAGTGTTGAGATGGTCTGGATCCCAAAGAGCCTGGCATCAGCATGCACAGGCTTGAAATGCTGCGTGGGCCTGTGGGAAGAGCAGAGGTGCTGCAGGCCACCCGAGGAGAGTGGGAAGGTGACAAGAGTGGGGTGGAGGAGACAGCTGCAGCATGTCCAGCTTCTCCCTTCCGCTGCAGGCTGTGCTGTAGCTGTGTGGACGTGAAGCTCGGGCAACTCTGCTGCCAGGTCTAGGGGGAACCACAGGTAGTTTGAAGAACATCTCGTGGATGGTTCCCTAATATCTGCAGAGGTTTCTTCTCCAGCTGAACAGTTGGAGTTGGAGAATCCTCTGTGGATTCTCTGACGTCTAATACAGGGTTTGAGATAACTGTTGCCCTTCTATCAGCAAAGGCTTTAAAAACGCCTCTTCATCTTTTCTTCCTGACTATCCATTGCTGCAAATCTTGTCTTATTCTGCGCTAAGGCTGACTGAAAGTGAGGGGTGGATTCAAAAGTTACCAGTAAGGAGAAACACCCAGTGTTACTGTCTTGGTTTTGTTGCCTTTGGAAAGCACAGAGCTCTTGCCGTCCGCTGTCTGTCCCCAGACACTGGTGTCTGAGACGTGCGTGAGCAGAGAATGTACAGGAGGACACGTGGGTGGCTGCAATCATGTGTGAGTCTGATGGCGTACTCCCTATGGCGCTGCAGAGCGCGGTTTCAAGAGGTCTCTTACCACAAGTTCTCTAGTATCCGGTATGATTTGAGCATGTTGGAGGTGAGAAACTGTCATGTGGTAGAGACCACCTTCCTGCTGGAGAAGCTGCAGCCCTCTCGGGAAGGTGCTGTGATGACTGCTGTTTGTAGCTTTACGCCTTGCGCATTCGGGAGCGCTGCTTGATAGCACCATCTGGTATCAGCTTTCCCACTTTGTCCTTCAGAAAGTTGTGGCCTTGCTGGATATGCCGTCTGCCTGCCCTCTCCCTGTCACCTCCCTCCTCTTGCTCTCTTGGTCCACCTACACCGAGCACCACCAGCCCCTTTGGTGCCAGGTTATGTGCAGGCTCTGTGTGATGCAGTCTGTGCACCCTGAGGCAGAGGAGCTGGAGCAGCCCCCCAGACAACGCAGATTTGGGAAGGAACGTTGTTGGGCCATGCCTCCTTTCATCAGCTTGGAAGGACACGATGGTCTGTGGGAAGGCGTGGGCTGGGGTTGGGCCGAGGTCCAGCCAAGGCAAAGCGGGGAAGAAGTACCCTCCTGGCATCATCGTCAGGAGGTTTCAAGCCTGGAAGAAGCTGGGCCTGAGGGATAGGTGTGCATCTCTGTAGGCATCTGTGATCTGCTGAGCATCCCACACAGGTGCCGCTCAGAGAGAATCTCTCCTTGCTGAACAATTCCTGGGACCCTCTGGTTGATCCCTTCCCTCTTCTTCTCCATAGCTGTATCCACGGTGCCTGTGCAGGATCGGGAAGTTGCACGCGGCCGCTGCTTGCTCACGCTGCCACCCTCAACTGTACCTCCGATGGCCCGAGGCACATGGCGTGCACTGTCACCTGCGAAAAGGGTTTCATCCTCCGCTCCAGCAATGGGAAGAGCCTGGGCTCCATGCAGGTGAGTGGGCTTCAGGATGGTGGAGACCTCACTGCTTGTTGGACCGAGTGCTACTTAAGAGAGATTTAACCACCTCAGGGTTGTTGGAGTGACTCCAGGACACCTTGTTCCTCCAGCCCTGACCTCCTTGCTGCTTTTCCAACAAACCTCAGCCCAATGGAGGCTCTGGTGCTGGACCTCTGTGCTGGTGGCTTGTGGTCCTGCTCTGGAGACCCCTCTCCTTCCCTTGCCGCAGTCCAGCCCAGTCCTGCCTGCAGACCATGGCTCTGCCAGGCTAAAAGCTGCTGCAGGAGATGTCCCAAGCCAGGGTGATGCAGTCCTGCAAAGGGAGAGGTAGGCATTTCTGTTCTCCAGATGAGCATTGCTGGGAGGGTTAAACATCCCTGGGATGTTTTCTCTCTTAAAACTGAAGTTAGTGGCTCAGGAAAAAGTGAAGTCATTGCAGAGCGACTATATTTAGAGGCAGCCGACAGCATGGAGAGCTTTTCTTCCTTTGTGTTGCATTGCAATAATGCTGCCCACACCAGCGGGGCAGCGCGGAGGTCACCGTGAAAGAGTTCATCCTGCTTTCCAGAGGGCTGGGGGATGCCTCGTAAAAGCCACAAGCCAGCACGGCTCTTAACCATTGACGGAGGAGACCTGGGACTGATGTGTCCTTGGGAGCTGAGCTGCCTCAGGTCTGGGCAGTCACTCGGGCAGGGTTGTGGGCATAGTGTGTCCCATCCTTAGGCTGTTCCTGGACGGGGAACAGGAGTCTCTGGGGCTGAGCTGGTCCACACACCAGCCTGAGTAAGAGTGTCAACTCTCAAGGGGTCGAGACAGAGAGAGGCGAGTCAGGCTGTGTCAGCAGGGTGGACCTTTCCTCTCCTCGGAAGGTCACACATGCTCACGATGACTGGCAGGCAGGTTTCCCGTGCTGCAGCCATCGGTGTTTGCCAAAGGCGAGGTGGGTGCTGGAAAGTGCAACGGGGCAGCTGAGGATGCACCACTTGGCCCTTCGTCACCAGGGAGGTTATTAATTACATAGCCGCATGGCTTTGTGGGTCAAGGCATGCCCAGGGAAAACAAAATGTTCCCATTCTCTGAAATGAAACCACAGGAAAAAAAAAATCTGCCTCCGGTGACAGTTTTCCTGCATTTGGCAGCAAGATGGGAAACTTCTGGACAGAGCTTCACCATGTGGCTGTCACAGCTTGCAAGTGCCCTGCCCTGAGCCCTCCGGTGATGTCACTGGTTTGGCTGTGTGACCCTACTCTTCTTGAGGCCTTTTGGGAAAATGCACACAGCTCTCCTTTGAGCATCCTCTCCACCTGATTCGGATATGCATGATCCTGCTGCATACCCAAGCGTACCAGACTCAAATGTAGTGATGTCCTTCAGAGTCACCATGTCCAGGTTTAATCCAAACGTCTTGGCTAGGAGGACAGGTCACACAGTTGACTGTACGAGCAGCGTGGTTGTACTCAACCGGTGAAGGGACATCAAGAACAGTTGAAAGACACCTCTTTGGTCTGCAGCCTCTGCCTGAGGACTGCTGAGCTGAGGTTAGTGGTCTGGGAGTGGAAATCACAGAACAGTTGGGGTTGGAAGCGACCTTTAAAAGATCATCTAGTCCAACCCCCCTGCCATGGGTAAGGACACCTTTCACTAGACCAGGATGCTCATGGCACACCGTCTTCCACCACTCTGTTTTGATGAAGTCCGTGGCACACGTTGATTGTGTTTAGTGGTGGGACTGCTGGGGATTAGGTTCTCATGCAGTCCCCCACCTGTGTAAGAGGAGCTGTGTAATTAGGATTTGTAAATGAGGTTATGTGAACCTCTGATTTCAGTGGGGTCTGTGGGCTCAGGCATGAGAGAATCGATGCGTTTAGGGAAAAACAATCAAGAGGAGAGCTGCCTGTCAACAGCTGAAGTAAGACTTGACCTTGTAGGGGAAAAAATTGCAGCGCACAGAGCTGGGAATAACTTGTAGCTCAGGAAGTGGTAGTGTATCTTGAAGGGATTTTCCTTTTACTCTTAACCATGGTCTGGCACCACTCCGACGGTGTGCACACAGCTAGTGTTTTCTGGAGGCAAGCAGTTATGGATCAAGCATTAGAAGGTCTCTTGTGCAGGTGACTTGTGTGTTACCCCAAGGGCCATTCGCTGCGTTCACACCCCGAATGTCGCCCCATGAGCAGGTAAGGGCTTTGTGACTCAGTGTCCAGAGTGGGGAGAAAGGGTGCATTGGAGGAGAAAAAAAATAGGGGGAAGCTTTGCTTGTCCTGAAACCTGGGTCAGCCCTTTCTGCAGCGGTGGCAAACAAGTAGATTAAAGCTCACTCGCAGGGGTCTGACAGAGCCTTGCTTTCTCTGCAGCAGGAGGTGGTGCTGATGTGCAGCTCGGGACGGTGGGACAGATCTGTGACTTGTGACCCTGTTGACTGCGGTGTCCCTGACCAGTCCCACGTGTACTACGCCAAGTTCTCCTGCCCCACGGGGACCACCTACCTGCAGAGATGCTCCTTCTCCTGCATCCACCCAGCCAAGGTTCAAGGTACGGTCTGGAGTGCTGAGACATAGAACCACCCTTTTCCATGTCACCTTTCCGTGCATGTCCCAAGCCATTCAAACAGAGCTTTGCTACTTTGAATTTCCCAGTTATTCTGGCTTCTGCAAGCCAGGAGGGCTCTTGAGAGACTTCCCGAAATGGTGGGCATCTGTCCCCTTTGAGCGGAGACACTGTAGTGTGGAGATCATTCCCTCTGACTGCCATCCCCTGGCTGGCATCCCTTATCCATCCACCTCAGGGTGTAGGGACGTCTTCTCCTGATAGCTGGTGGGGTCCAGCAGCCTCCGGTATTACGGGGAGGAGGGAGGCAAGAAGTGTGCAGGCAGCCAGCGCAGAGAGAGAGGACTTCAGAAAGCCAAAAGTGGCTGGGTGCCCGGTGGCTGTGGGAAAGCCTGTGGTTTGGGAGGCCTGGGCCTGTATAAAGCCGTAGAGACTGATGCCCGCAGCTGCAGAGCAGTCTGGGAGGTGTTCACCCAGACACACAGCAGCCCTACAGACATGCCATGGCCTGGCTTTCATTCTGCCGACTCCATCAGTAGCCGCAGGAATGTTTTTAAGCCAAGTCAGAGAAAGAGAGCTACTGTTCCTGTCTATACAAGGCTGAGCTGGATGGGATTTCGGGGGTAATTGCCTTGACAGCTTCAAGCATTGGGACTTTATGTGAGTTTCCACCAGCGCCTTTGCTCTCAACAATCGCATACAACAAATCATTTTAATGGGTGCCCTATTTTATGGAGACGTTTATAGCTGAAACGTATGAAAATAATTTACTTTTTTTTGTTAAAGTTAAATCTAAGGAGTAAAAACTGCAGGGAATTAAGGTCTCATTTCATGACAGGGGGGATGCCGGCAGACCCCCAGCATGAGCTGATCAAAGGGGTAGCACACAAATGATGAATCGGCAGCCCAAATTCTGCATGAACCGTTGCCTTGGGTGGGTCAGCTCAGGGCAGGGCTTTAATCTGATCTTTCACTCATAACCATCGCTGACATCAACAGGAGGTTTGCCATGGGCTCCCTCGGTGGGAAGGTGTCCCCTCGATGACTTCCAGCCGCTGACACGATGGCTGGTGGTACTTGGCCAAGGCTGCCGAGCCACATGGGTAAACTCTTACAGGTCCAGCCGACTCGGCTGAGCTGCCGAGGCAGGGCATGCTTGATGCTTGTTCTCCCTTAAGGTCTCGCATCAGTATGGGCAGGCTCTCAAGGCTAATAAATGCTAAGAACAGTCAAGGAAAGGATGAGATGGCTGTGCAGCACTTGGAGATGGGGGACAACCTTCAGCAGCACCGGCCCAACGGGAGTGCAAGCGCTGAGCGGAGGCATGGTCTTGAAAAAAAACAGATCAGTGATCCCGTAAAAAGAAAACGATGCTTGAAGGGAGCCTGGAGCAGTCTGGCTGCACTGGGAACCTGCTGATCCAAACCTCTCAGTAGGAAGAGTCCCAATCACTCCAGTCCAGCTTTTTTTCATGCTCAGCAGTTCCCAGCAAACCATTCATCATCCACACCTGAACGCTGACCCCAGGCACCCAGAGCTGTGCAGTTTCAGCCACCCATTAGCTGGATCTACCAAACACCCTTTTCTCTAGAGGGACAACAAAGAGTTGGGCTGTAATACTCAACCGAAACCTTTAGTAACGGGTGGTTTGAATTCCCAGTCACACCAGTTAAGACTCCCATGTCTAGCCTCCTGGCACTTCCCATCTTGTGCTGCACATGTATCACAGGGTATGACAGCTTGTAAAGGGTAAGGACAAGCTGCAAAAAGCACCTGGGGAGAATGAAGATGGGCTGAACTAAGTAAGTGTCATACTTAAAACGCCCCCAGCCCACTGAAGGTTGTCTTGAGGCATCACCAGAGAGGGGAAGTTTAAGGGAAAGTTTTGGGGAGATTTGCAGAACCGAGATCCTTTCTTCATCCCCTAGAAGTTGTCCCTTCCCTGCTTCTGTCTGCATTCAAGGAATTTCTGCCCCAGCCTGACCAAGGATGCAATAGACTCCATGGTCTTTGTACCTTTTGCCTCCCTTGGCATCAGTATCCGCTCTAACAAGAGGACTTTTGCTGGTTGCTCTGAGTTTCCCTCAGCAGGACTCCATCCCCAGGTCAGCTGTGACCCCAACACACTGCTTCTCTTTTGGGGTCAGGAACAAACCAGTGGCTGACCTGCCTGGAGGATGGTCTCTGGTCGCTCCCCGAAGCCTACTGTAAGTTGGAGTGCGACGTGCCTCCCACGGTGGCCAACGCCAAGCTCCTGGTCCCACGGTGCCTGCAAGGGAATCACGATGTGGGCTCAGTCTGTCGCTACAAGTGCAAGCCTGGATATCATGTGGCTGAGAACGCAGTGGGCAAGCCAAAGAAGTAAGTCTGTGGCGGGTCTGTTATCACCCTTTCCTTCCTCCTCTTCTCGCAGCTTGAGCAAGGAGGAGAGGTGATGGTATGCTGGTGGTCTTGAAGAGCTGATTTGATAGGTACAAAGCAGAGCAGCTTGCTTTGGTCATGCAAATTTCTTGAAATTTGGTTTAGGTGAAAGCAGGTGGGAAAAAGGTGTAAACTGTTGTTGCACACACATGTACGTTAAGTGCTTTAACCTAAAGCGTGTGAATTTTCTTGTGCACCTCAATGCACTTGTCACTTGGTGAAAAATAAGCACATACAGAAGTATTTGCGGACTCTCAGGTAATTAGATGTAATAAGATGCTGGAAGATTCCTGGAGCTGCTGTCTTTCCTAAAAGCGATAAAACATAGGTCAAGGCACTGGGGGTTGTAAGAATGAATGACTGCCTTTTGTCAGGGTTAACATTTTACCCCCTGCACATCTTGGCTAAATTTAATGTCAAGCATTTGCATTTCAATTGGAGAAGATTTTTCCCGATGCTTTGGGGAAAAATTCCTGGTGACTTAGCCCTGCGCTCAGCCAGTATCGTGATGCTGGGGGGTAAAGCAACATTTCATCTGTGATGCCTCCAGCTGAAGTCCCCATCGGGTATGGTCACGAAAGATTCCCTGGCACTGGCTGAGTCCTCCCGAGTCTTGATGTTAGCCCAAATCAGGTAATTATGTGCTAATTGTTTAATGCCCCCTTCCAGTTTTAATTGGATGCAGACTTCATCTCTGCTTCGCTCTGGGGTAGGGTTGTTGTGCACTGGGAAGCAGTTGCCAAATTTCTTGCCTCGTAATGAAGGAAGTGGTTTCTGTAAACAGCTTTTCACGGTGTTAGGAGCAGTTTTTGGGCCAAGGGGAGCTGAGCAAATTATGATTATGGCTACGATCACATGGACTGCTTTGCAAACTGCAGAGCAGCTTGCATGCCTGTGGCATTTCAGGCACTGGATGTGCAATCAGATCAACTGAGGTTGCAAAGTTAGGCTATATCTCAGTCGTGCTGCAGCAGCTGCTCATACAAAGGATGCCCGCTGGGAGTTCCCAAGGCTCCTCTGATATGTGTGTATAACTTCCCTATGAGTCTGAAAAGCCTGTGAGACGAGTGAAGAAAATCGTGCAAAGTGGTTTATATTTTCATAGCAGTGCATGTTGACATAGCATTTTCACATTTGCTATTATCGTTAGTACTAATTCATCTAACGTCTTTGACTGTAGAGTACGATCCTGTTACGGTAAGCAAAAAAACATTAACAGAAACAGAAAATTCCTTGCTTTCTTATTATGCAGATTAACTGCTATGTGAGTGGCCCGATTCAAAGCGAAAGCCTTTCTTTAGAAGTATAAATGTTGGTGTACCATCTCATCTGTAGCTCTACGCATACACTAGGCATGAGTACAAACCCCTTGGCACGTGTAGTGAGTAGTAGCTACTAGCCCGTAAGCGGGCCAGTCAATTGCCGGATTGCTGGGAATCCTTCTGGTGTTTCAGCCCTGGCAGGCAGAGGATGGGAGCTGCCAGAGTGAGAGGCTGCTTTCTTTGTTCAGGCCAGTTTTGAAGAAAGAGAGTTGTTGAAGGTGATGGAGAGCTCTGGAAGGGGCTGGCACTGGTGGGGTTGCAGGTTCCTGATGGAGTGTAGATTCCTGATGGCGTGCAAGCAGGGTCTCAGCTGGTGATTTGGGTCTTTCTGGGTTCTTTCTGGGTTCAGCAAACTGAGTTCTTGAGCTGTTGTCTCCCTGTTGTCCATCAACCCAGCGACTGCCAGCCTTGCTAAAGGATTTAGTGCCGTACAGGTGTTGATGGGCACAAGAAAGCAAGACTCTCTATGCGTACTATATATCGGACAAAAGTCAGGCATGATCCACTGAAGACACTGAAGACTCCTCATGCCAACCAACTAGCTCAACCTTGGAAATACAGTCAGTCTCTGAATTATTATTCTAGCTCTAGCAATTGTGTCTCTTTAGAGGGGAACGATGGAGGGAGTGCAACCCCCAGCTGGCCTTGCCAACAGCTATGGGACTGGGGCTGTTCTCCAGGGAAGGTGTAGAGGCACCTTTGGGTGTCTGTGCATTCCTAAGGGATCAGCCCACTCTGCTACTATGTGAAAGGCGCGCTCAGCTTCTCATAGCACTGTTATAAGAAGCTTGGCCACTTCCTTCAAGGGCTGCTTGTAGGCACCTTCCTTCAGGGATGGCTCTGGATCCCCTGTGGACAGGGACAGTTAAGCTGTAATATGAGCAAGCAGGAGCTCAACTTGGCCAACGCTCAGCATCACCTCCTGACTAGCTGCTTTTTTGATCAACCTTCTGCAATGCTGTTCTCTCTCATGCACCTCGTAAAACACCATGGCCGCTACAGCTGTACTGGAGACCCAAGCCCTGAGGCTTTGCTCCTCACATGGTAGGGCTGCAGTGCCCGCTTTATGCAGGCCTGAGCCATGGCTGGGATCCAGCTGTCTGTGTCAAAGCCAAGATGCTCTTGGACACAGAAGTTCACGTGATTCCCTCACATCTGTTTTGTTAGTTGAATTTTACTGTAGGGGCAGTAAGGATGCTTAGAAGACTCCTGCAGTCTTCATTGAAATTCATTTCCCATAGCGTAAGTGGAAGAGAAAGGGGATGAAGCCATCTGTTTCAGAGAAGATGCTTTATTAAGAAAAGGAAAGGCCCTTCAGAAATCACTGCCTGTCAACAGGGGATCCTCAAGGAAATGTTGATTGTGTAATCAAGATCCTGCCAGAGGTTTGCTGCCTTTCTGCTGGCAGGATCATCTGTCTGACGATGCTGGCACGAAGGGTAAAGCTTCTTTGACTCTTCCTAAAGGAACTCTGTTTTCAGCATGGAGAGTCCACATAACAGCCTGGTTTCCAGCTGACAAGCTATTTCACACCTAACCCTAAAATAGCAGTAACAAGGGGAACTTAACATATGCATTCGTGCTTGTGATGGGAGCTCCCTGGTTTTGGGCAGCATCTGTCCAAGGGCAGCACCAACCGACCCACCTGGATCGCACGGAGAAGTGAACTGTGAAGGAGCAATGTTTGGCATTGTCCATAGCGGCAGCATTGAAAAGAGCTGGCCTGCAAGTCAGGGATCAGATACTCTGGGGAAAAAGGGCATCGCCCCCGCAATGGTCCTTGCTGTTGCTTCCACCATGAAGTGCCATCTGAGGCAGCTCTCTAACAGGAATATCTAGGACATCGTTTAGAGGAGTACTCTAATGCTGAGAGGATGCTCTCAGTCTGGGGACTGAAAAGGTCAGACCCTGCAGAGGGGTCGTTTCACTTGCCCGATACGAGTTGATTCCTTGGAGAGAAGAGATTTGGGCATCTCAAAGCTACCTTTGTGAGGAGTTGAACCCTTTCTACTAACTTGAGGGAATGAAACAAAGAAGATCCGGGCACCCAGGTCTTTTCAGGCAACTTTGAAAATCTCAGCCTGCATTTTGACTGGAGATCAAGGGAGCACAGCACAGCCCCCTAATGAGCTTCCATGGAGATGTCAGCCCCTCCGCCTCCTCTCCCTGTTCAAAGACTACAGAGACCATGAAAGAGGAAGAGGAGGCAGGAGAACGTGGAGGAGAAAGTGGACTGGAAGGAGTTAGTTAGCAGACCGGGGGCTGGAAACGCATCAGAAAGGTCACAGCGGGCAAAGCAGGACAACCTAACCTGGGAGCACTGGAGTTTAGCAGGGCACTGGACCACCGTACGTTTGTGGTGGGGGCAGAGGTGTGGGGTGCTCGCTGCTTCTGCCCACATCTGGCCCCTTCCAGATAAAAGGCAAACACTCGTGCAGCTGAGGGAACCAAACAGCCAGGTAAAGAAAACACAGGCTGTCAACCGGACCCCGGTGCCACTTCTCCACCTCTAAGGTCTCTGATGAAGATTTACAACCCAGGTTGTTCAGAGCACAGCAGCGGATGTCCTATAAGCTGGTGTTGCTTTCTTTCAATCTACCAGTAAATCTCCCTCCTTCCTCCCTATTCTGTTTGAAGCTGTCAATCTGCTGCCGTGGGAGATGAGGCTTTAGGCTCATTTATCGCTGTTCCTGTATGGCATACCCAGTCCCCCCAAGCTGGCTGCCCCAGTACATGGCTGGATCCCAGCCGGGCTCCTGCGTGCTCGGCTCCTGGAGCCAGGGCAGCACTCGTGCCCCCACCTCCGATGCAGCCCTTGCCGGCCTCAGACGCCTCCCCTGCCTCCTCTGCTCGTTAGGCATCCATTTGCCTGGTTGGAGGGGGGAAGCTTTGCCTCTGATTTTCCTGGCTTCCTTGTTAATCCTTGAGAAATGCCACTAACCCAGATCAGAGGAAGTCTGGAAAGAAGGGGGTCGGGAAATTTCAAGCTGCTATAAGATTGTGTTTTT